TGGAGAGACGATGCCTCTCATGACCCTGGGCTGCTGCCAGGGATGCGTGGAAGGCATCCCAGGGCCTCTGACTGCGCAGCCACACCTCACCTGGCTGTTTGGTGACAGCAGATTGGACATGCCCAGCGTTCTTGGAAGATGGCCTGTCTGCTTCAGCCGAGCCTCTGCAGGAGAGGCGGATGGCCTTTCAAAGCGCTCACATCTTCAGGTGCCTTGAATCTTGAGCCTGGGGCAGGCTCAAAGACTTTGGCTGCTGTGTTCTCAGGTCGCAGCTGCTGGATACCCAGTGTGCGAAGCCTGCTCAAGATCTAGTAGCAAACCACACACAGTCATTACGCGTCATGCGTGTTTGAGCTTCTGGCCCAGTTGGGAGGACTTGCTTTTGACTTGCTTCCTTCTCCACAGTAAGCTTGACTCGCAGCAGGCCCACTATTCCTTGGCATGGGAGAGCATAGGAGAGTCCGAAGCGGGTTTCTGCGAACGTCATATTAAATCTTACATCAGTTATCGGAAGACATAAATGGAAGCGAAGCTTTCTATCCATGTCTGTCTTGGTTCCGGCCGGCAGAAATATATGACCATCAAATATTTGCTTGAAAAAACTGCATGGTTCGGGCACTGGCGCTGGGGCAATGGCCCTGGCCATCATTGGCAATTGTGACGTCGGAGTTGAATCCGAAGGGATAAAACTGATGACACCTGCCACTCACTAGCATCGCTCCCTAGTTCTCTCAATAGCAATCACAAAGAACAGTTTTTTCATAATCTAGATAGTCCAGCACTATAGTTAGCACCAGCCTTCGCGTGACGATGAATACTACTCCTACTCCCACTCCTCGTCCTACTACTTCTGCTACCGCGCACACTCCTCTTCCTACTTCTGAGGCTAAGGCTATCACAAAGAAACCAGCCATCATTATAATACACCCTCATTGGCAACTGCACTTTCGCTGTACTATCATGCAATATCTGATCGCGGCCTCAGGATAGCAGATCCCTCGAGCCGCATGTCCTGGCACCATCACCTCAAGCCTTTGACTAGGAGTTAGCCTAGAACAGCTGACTTTGTACTGAAACGCCGGGTTCGATACACAGCGCGCGTGGTAACCGCATGGCGCAGTCCTCGCTGGCTACGTGAAACTCCAGGTCTTCACCCTCGACATAATCCTTGCGGGCCGTGAATGAGGATTGCGAGAAGTATGGATTGACGTCAGCGGTTCCTCTACCTGGACGTGCCTTCTTCTTGCATCATCACTACACTTGGTGGGCACATGTGGGCCAAGGATGCGGATGCTGTTGCTGAGGATTGACTCTTTCATTTTCGAGCATGACCGGGCAGAGAGTCCTGAAGCTCGCCTTCTAGATTCCAAACCTAAGCATGCGGAAGTCAAACTGTTTCTAGACGCGGCGTCAATGATCGTAAGAGGAAGAGGGACAGGCGGTCTGGTATCCCTGCTCCATGGCGAGGCCAGTTTGTAAGTCAGCATATCTTCGCCTGACGCATATCCATTGGCTCCCCATCGGGCAGCATCCCTGAGTCACGCTGAGACGTGTCAGGCTGACCCGGCTATGGCGCAGACGCAGGAGAACGCTCGCCTGGCAAGAAAGACCCTTCCAAGGCTGCTCCGTCTAAGGGGCACAGAGAAATGGGGTGTTCCCAAAATTAGGCTTGCTTTTTTAGTATTGAAGGGGTTCCCCTATCTAGGGAAACTACCAAATCTCCTAGGTCCTAAGCTTGACTGTGATCGGTTTGATCTTCTTCTCTGGGCTGCCCCTTCGGCTTGCCCTATCTGACTATCTGCTGACTGCTTCCAAGCCTTCCTGCAACTAACGCTGCCCCACTGCAGCTGAAAAACTGACAGGTGTATTGCTGGCCTTCCGACTCCGTTGAGACTCCTGGGCCCCGGATTCAACAAATTTGAAGCCCCCAGTAACACGGAGACTGAAGCCAACAGGAGCTGAGGACAAAGAGCCTTCCTTCACCATACAATGTACACGGACCCTGTATTGCTGTGCACAAATCCTAACCCCTAGATCCTCAGCCCTGAACCTAGACCCTGCATTGCTGCATGCACGCACTTGATCACACTTGGGCACTTCCGGAAAGCCTGGTAGACAAGTCCAGCCCATGTAGCCCGCGGAAGCTCTGAACCAGCACTTTCAGCCTGTCATTGCCAGGTGCTTGTTTAGTTTAGGGGTTAAGGCGTCAAGCTTTTGACATGACTGCATATGGCCTCTTTGGGCTGAGTGCCACCTTTGCAGAAGCCTTCTGCTTTGGGCCTTAGCCAGGCAGCCAGTCCATGGTTCGGACCTCCACCCTTCTTTTTCGCGCAGCACACAGGCCAGGGCTGTGAACTTGTTCATGGCCATGCCGGGAAGCCTCCAACAAATATAAAGCCACAAGAGGTAAATCTCTCTCAGTCTCGTGGTCATCGCGGAGGTCACTCTCACTTCTTCCAATGGCTGTTGGTGGAACCCTTCTGCCCTCAGCCTTCAGCCACACTCCTTGCTTGCAAGAAAGAGCAGGGTTCCGCAGATTGCGCGGCCTCCAGATGCTTCTGGTGCTGGTGCTTTTCGCGTCGGGCCGCTGAAACCTGCATTGCACGCTGTTGCATGCAACCTGGTCTCGGCGTCACGTGACTGGGCTCCCGACTGCGGTGCGCTGCACCTTGTGACAAGAAACCTGGCGCCGGGAAATGCAAAGATTCCGTGCCGCGCCCAAATTCAAGTTCGCCAACGCCCCCAAGCGTCTGGGATGCAGATCTGAGCTTTGTTTCTGATCGTCCGGTCAAGACATTTATTTGCGTGAGGAATATTTCTAAGATCTACATAGACTGGCCACATTCCTTACACGATAGTTTTTTTCCGATGATTGCGTTCTCAAGGAAGCCCCCTTTTTTTGCACGTTCGATAGAAGCTGCCCCTTGCAGCTATGCTGTTCTCTGTCATCCGTTTCTGACCGCTTCAGTGGGTGTGTCCGACATTGAATTCAGGCACTTGTCTTGCCCTTCAGCCCCAAAAAGCACACTATGGAGAAACTATCAAGGAGACTCACATGTTGGTGACAGCCTGAAGGCGCAGTGATGGTGCTTCGCTTGTTTGAGGCTCGGCCTTAACAGCTGCAGCTGCTACAGCGTGGTAGAAAGCAGTCGGAAGCTCCAACTCCTTGGCTTTCCTGGGGCCGCACATCTCGGCTGATCTCTAGGTCAAGGTTTCCATCAAAGCCTGAGAAAATTAGTCCCCCATCAGCACTCAGCCCTACCAGAGCAAATCAAGAGTAGGAGTACGACCGTTCGGTAAGACTTGATCAGCTGGAAGTGTAGCCTTGGGTGACAAACCCTCATGTAGTGTTTAAAGATTCTGGGCTGTGAGTCTCTGTACCTCTGAAAACTTAGGGGTGCGAGCGGGCAGCAAGATGTTGGACGGTCCCACCCCACCCTGAGAAGCGACCCTCCTGCTGTCTTCTCAGAACTGCGCTGTGGCCAGTAAAGTGTCTCTCTGGGGCCAAACTTCCTGAAAAGAGTGTCAAGACTTCAGCTGGAAGGCGCTAGAACAAAAATTGCATGCAAGAGGAGGTCCTTGCTGTAGACGGAGAAATTCAGCGGCTCTTTGCCCGAGAACTCCAAGGCCACAGTCTTGTTCCAAACCTCGCAGTCAAAACGGGGGCACAAAGGACAGGCGTGTGTGGCAACAACCTGTCGTTTGGAATCAT